TTCTTTCAATTTGGATTTTATTTTCTATTATGTTTGTGCGTGTTTGTTACCATTAGTGTAGTCCATGTAGAGGCCTGAGGAGGATGTCAGTCATATGCCATGGGTGCAGTGTATCAAACTCAGGCCCTCTGCCCGAGCCGTACGTGCTTTCTACCCCTCAGCCATCTCTCTAACCTGATTTTATACTTTGAGGGAGTTGTTGATATCTTAACTGTGGAGCGATTCATACACCGATGAATTTTTGGCTAGATTTTTGTTTCACATAATTTTTTTTTTTCGGTCTTTTTGAGACAGGGTCTCCTTGTAGCCCCAGCTGGCCTGGAACTCACCTTGTAGACCAGGCTGGTTTCGAACTCACAGAAGTACGCCTGCCTCTGTCTCCCAAGTGTGCCACGATGCCTAACTTCACATAATATTTTCTTTTTATCAAAATACTAACACTACAAGAATGCTCACCCAGGGAAGGGAAGTGCACACAGTTCCCTGCACATGGAGGACACTTGTGGGACTAGAGTAATTAAGGAGCAAATGTGTATTAGAGGGTAGGTCAATCAAGGTACCCTGATTAGGCTACACGGGTATGAAATTCCACAATGCAGCAGCAAGCCTTTTCATATTCATTTAAAGAACCAAACAGGTAGTTCAACAAAGATAACATTTGAATGCAATGGTGTGGGAGTGTGACCTCACACTGAGTTCACCTGAAGAGTTTTAAAAATATCAACGGTCTGGTGCCAGAACCTGGATTTTAATTTCTTTGGTCCATTGTAACTAGAGCTTGGAGGATTTTAAAAGCAGCCCCAGAAGATTCTACTGTGGAGCCAGAGGTAGGAAGCAGGAGTTCCAGGGCTTGGAATTTATTAGCTGTGCATGACATCCACGTGTGTCATGTAGCTTTACCCATTGCAGTGTCTCAGCCACTGGTGGTTGAAAGCACCTTTGTCTAGGTATAATCAAAGAGTAAATTCAAGACCCACTCCCTCAGTTGGTGACACTGCTGCAAGAAAAAACGCATTCCCAATGGGTGCTCAAATGTTAATGCCGCTTGCTTTCATAAGGACATGATTAAAGAGCTGTACTCAGTTTTGTCTATGTTGGAAATAATAAACAGCATAAAAATACCAAACGGGATTGAAATAACGTGCATTCATGTGCGGTACACTGCATCGTTTCAAATTTATACTTGAGAAATAAAGAACACGTCATTACTGGTTTACATGATGGTCTTGCCATCTAGTTAACCTGGTTCTTTTTCTTCAAGTGAATATTAGAAGATATATCTTTAGGGCTGGTAAGATAGCTCAGGGCGTTTAGGACCTTGTCTTTGCAAACCTGGTGACCTGACTGTGATCCTCAGGATCCAGTTAAAGTAGGAAGTAGGGAAGTGACCCTATGAACTTTTGACTTGCACAGACATGCTGTGTCACCTGTGCCTACATGCAGAAGTGATGCATACAATGTAACAGTAAAAAACAAAAAGAAATGAATTTCTTGCAATACGAGTGACATGAAATCTTGGTGGACATTATGTGGGGAAGAAAGGAAACCAGCCAGAGAGGATGGGGAACTGGGAAGGCAGTGTAGGGGGGAATGAAAAGGGACAAAGTGTAATCACATGTGTATGAAAATGCCACAGTGAAATGTTTTACTGAGGCAGGACAGAGACACAGAAACTTAGTGGGGGCATGGATTGGCTCTTCACCCCAGAGTCTGGGTGCAGCCAGCTGAGAAGCAAGAACTCCAGTATGATCAATGTTTGCTATGAAGGTTGCCAACATACGGATAACATTCCCTTTAACTATAGATATTATTACTATTTTAAAATAGTAATAAACTAGACCTAAAACCTGAATATAAAGACCTTGGTAGGGGCTCAGTCCTTGCCCCAGACATTATTGAGAGTCTCAAGACCATTACCTTTGCTTATTGTTATTGTAAAGATTTCCTACCTTCTTATATCTCTACGATCTAGACTTTTCCCTTATCGTGTTATCCTGCTTCAAATTCCTCTAAGGAGCTACTTGGTTATCTCATTTAACTCACTTAGAATCTGTATTAGAAATGCCTTTTAATAAAACCCTCAACTCTACTACATATTGCCCAGTCCTAAAATTCTTACCTTTTTGGAGCCAGGAGTCCTGGCTTGGCCTGATGTGGGTGACAGAGCATGGCTGTGCCTCCTTTCTCTGACCCTCTCACCAAGCAAATTTTTAACTAAAAAAGTTTATAGTCAGAACTTGTGCATGCCTATAATTCCAGCACGTAGAAGGCAGGAGGATCAGAAGTTCAAGGCCAGCCTCAGGTACATAAGTAATTTGTAAACAGCTTGGGCTACTTAACAGATAGTTTTGATGTTAAATGGCGCCATTCGTTTTTGTACTTTCTCCTCCTCAGGGACGTGGTCTCAAAAAAAAAAAAAAAAAATGGGGCTGGAGAGATGGCACAGCTGTTAAGGCACTGACTGCTCTTGCAGAGGACCCAGGCTTCATTCCCAGCAGTGACATGGCAGCTCTGAACCTTCCTTAACTCCAATTCGAGGGGAATCCGACGCCTTCTTCTGACCTCTGCGGCACTGCATGACACGGATGCACTCACATACATGCGGCCGATACACTCATACACAAAAAATAAAAATAATAAATAAAAATGTATTTTAAAAATTGTGCATGTTACCCTCCCATTTTTATTTTTATTTTTGGTCTAGGAGAGTGTTTCCTATTCACAATTGTCCTCAAAACAGTGGACTTAGAAAACTATACAGCTATGCAGGGAACTTTAAAACATTGTAATATTTCTACGTTTTTGCTTTGCTTTTTTTTTTTTTTTCTGAGAAAGGGTATTACTGTGTAGCTCTGGTTTAAATTCCACCAGCCTCCACCTCCTGAGTCCTGAGATTAAAAGCCCTGGCTGGCTTGGAACTGGCTATGTAGACTAGGCTGGCCTAGAACTCTGGGAGATCTGCATGCCCCTGCCTTCCGAGTACTGACATTAAAGATGTTCACCAACATGCTTGCCTATATCTAAGTTTTTTGATGAGCCAGCAGGCTATTTCATACATTGTGTACTAATTCAGGTTTTGTTCTGGGTTTGGCACCTCATCAGTCTAGGGGTTATGGTTGGATTTGTTTTTCTAGCCAATTAAAGAATTAAAAGGCAAGAAAAATCTCAGACCAGCAGAGAGCAACAGTCAAACAAACTTTTATTGAAGAACAAAGAATGGCATCCATACAGGTGAAGAACTGCACACGCACACACATTTATACAGAAGGATGAAGCTTTCCACAAGGGGAAAGAGCACCTGGAAACTTCAGTCCATGGTCTCCTGGGGAGAATCTGCGTTTTAAGGTTTCAGTGGTTTCTCCTCCCCTAATTTTGGATTGGTCACCTAAAGGAAGTAGGTCTCGATGGTTTATGGGTCCTAATGATGAGGTGTCCAGGTCTACATGACTCTGAGCAGATCAGTTAAAGGGGCCTTGTTGGAATGAAACATGAGGCCATCCTGTCAGAGCCGGAGGAGCAGCAGGAAGTGTGCCATCTGCATTACTTCTTAGTTACTCTGTCGGGCCCCTCCCACCAAACCTCTACTCCCTACAAGTCTCATTTCTTCGTGTGTGTGTGTGTGTGTGTGTGTGTGTGTGTGTGTGTGTGTTCTACTGCATTTATTTATGGAAATTGTAAAGGAATCATGTGCCTAATAAGGGTTTTATTTACTTGAGTAAGGACAGACGTCCAGTGGCTATACCATTGAGGCAGATGAGTTCCCCTCCCCTGGCGACCATTAGCTGCCAGCAGGTCTGCAGGAAGGGGTGGGCCTTATAAGTCCCTCCCCCATCCATGATGTTGTATTGATGGGCCCAGTGTTGTTGAGGTCGTATGCAGGTAACCGTGCTTGTTGTGAGTTCTTGGGAGCTATGGTACCATTTACAGAAGAAATCATTTCTCTTTCCATCCTCCAGCACTTAACATCTTTTCACCCCTCTCTTCTGTGATGTTCCCTAAGCATTTGAGCTGATCATGTAGCTGTCTCACTTAGAGCTAAGCCCTTAACACTCACTTATTGTCAATACTTTGGCCATTTATGAGTCTATAGTAACTTTTTATAAAAAGTTTTTTTATTTATTATTTTTATGTGTATGTATGTATGTATTGCCTGCATGTAGGTTAGCGCACCCCTGTTATACAATGCCCAAGGAGCACAGAAGAGGCTGATGGATCCCCTGGAAGTGGAGTTATGGACAGTTGTTAGCTGCCATGTAGGTGCTGGGATTTGAACCCGGGTCTTCTGCAAGAACAGCCAGTGTTCTTAACTGCTGAACCATCTCTCCAGCCCCAAGTCTATATTAACTTCTGTGCACAGCACACAGATGTTTCTCTAATCAAGGCTGAGAGCAGTGTTTATCTATGAACATAAATATAATTTTACCTTTTTACCTCAAAGTATTTTGGTTCTTTTTAGCTTATCGATTCTCAACACCTGTCTCAAGGTAGCAGAAAGCTATTTGATTAATCTGGTTCAAATTTGTTCCACTCCAGGCTGTCACCCAGAGGCAGTCTCTGGGTGCTCTGTGAATAGACAGGCTTCTGTGTTTTTTCATTCTTCTGCGTTATTTCCTGGGACTTTACACCATGAAAATAGTGATATCCTTATTTTAAAACCCTTTGCTTTCCTGAGATCTGGGGGGAATTTGCATGTGTCCAGATCCCTTTATTTCTAGAGCTTTATTTCTAGAGCTTTAGCCCGTATTCCTCCAAGTCTGCTATTTTAGAGCTGAGATACTCAGTGCATGTGGTGGACCTGGGGATTTAGCGGGTTGACCCTGGGCAGATTTTCTTTGTGCTGCAGTTCCTTGGAAAACTCTTAATCATGTTTTCTTGAATTTTTATGTTAACACAGGAGGGATAATTATAATTTTCTTCTGGTAGAAAATAAGGAGCACCCTGTAAAAGACACTGATTAAACACATTTACACAATAGAGTGCACTCCCGTTTTCTTCCCCAGTGCTGAGGACCTGTGTTGAAGAGAATGGTGTCATTACAGGACTCTGTATCATTTGAGGATGTAGCTGTGGACTTCACCTGGGATGAGTGGCAGGATCTGGACATTGAGCAGAGGACCCTCTACAGGGATGTGATGCTGGAGAACTACAGCAGCCTGCTCTTCTTGGGTGAGTCTACGTCTCCTGTAACTCTAGGATCAATTACATTCTTCTTGGTTCATGTGTAAAAGAATTGCTCCTAATTTGTGACACTAAATCTGTATTACACATATTCATGGACACATGATAATAACACACATTTATGGCCAGCACTGTGGTTTTAGAGTGTACTATGTGTAACGGTCAGATGAAAATAACTAGCAAGTCTGTCAGTTCAGGAAGTACTTTTTAAAAAATATTTTATTTATTATTTTCATGTTATATGTTTGAGTGTTATGCCTGCATGTAGGTAAGTGCACCCATGTTGTGCAGTGCCTGCAGAGGACAGAAGAGGCTATATGATCCCTTGGAACTGGAATTATGGACAGCTGTTAGCTGCCATATGGGTGCTGGGCTTCGAACACCAGTCTTCTGCAAGAACAGCCAGTGTTCTTAACCGCTGAGCCATCTCTCCAGCCCCCAGGCTGTACTTTTTGTATTGGGAGCATTTGAAATCCGGTAGCCATTTTGAAATACTCAGTTACTTGCTGGCAACACGGAATCTCAATATTCTGTGGACCATACGAAGTTACTCCTCACTTCTCTATGCGTCCCACTAAATACTATCCATTCTGTTTCCATCCCTCTTTCTCCTGTGCGTTTTTCACACTCTACTAACCACCGTTTGCTTTTTTTCTACTTGTACGAGATCAACCATTGCTTGTAAGTAAGATAAGACCCTATAGAATCTTCATTTTTATGAGCGGCGTGTTTCACGTATTAATTGCTTTTCTATTTCTGCAGCAGAATACCCTGAGAAAAAGGGCCTTAGAGGAGAAAGGGTTTATTTTGGTTTACAGCTCAGAGGCGAGTGTGTATCATGCTGGGGAAGGCATGACACCAGGAGCTGGAGCCTGGCCTAGTAGGAAGCAGAGGAGCACATTTTATCACACCAAGTAGAGCAAAGAGGTAGTGAGGTCAGACTGAATTGGGCAAAGCTCACCAGCAGTGATGAATTTCCTCCCCAAATCTCCACCTCCTAAAGCTTCAATAACCTTCCCAAATAGTGCCACCAGCCGGGGACCAGGCATTCATTCACATACATGTGTTTCTTGGGGGCATTTCTCATTCAAACCATACCACGCTTCTGTTTTTTACCTTCCTGGGAAATCATAGACAAAGCATATACTGACAAGTATACAGAGAGCAGACAGCCCAAAGAAAGAGTCCTTCAATTCCAGGGTGGTAAATAAGTGAGACTACTATGGTACTTCGAGAGCAAAGATAGCTCTGCCACCAAAACATTCCAACCATGTGCAACCCCCTCTGCAGTCCCCGACCCCTGAAGGCAGATGCAGTTTGGAAAATCCACCTCTTTGCTGGTCAAAGTTTCCTCAATCAGTTTGTTGTTTCTATAAGATTGGATAGAGGGCCTGATGAATCTTGTTAATTTAGCTTTTCTGGACCTGTGAAGTTTACTTGCTGTGTTTTATTGATCTCCCCGTCCTTCCTGGTGGGAATGATTCAATTCAGCGGAAATTGCTATAGAATGGGGCTACTACATCTGTAGTTGGATTGCTGTGTCCATGAATAGCTTTGAAATCATTGTCATGAGTGTGTGGATGCTCACAGCTGAGAACATGGCTGTTCCTCTAGTTGCTGTTCTTTTCCATGTTGCATCAGGCTTTCCTCTTGAAGTATTTAGAAATATCTTCTAGGGTTTTGCCAGTTTGACTGGAAAGTGACCCAGAACCTTTTGTTGAGGAAATCTTTCAGGGCTCTGTTGAGCATCCTGGATCTGTGTGTGTGTGTGTGTGTGTGTGTGTGTTTCCCTGTACTGTACAATTCATTCCCTGAATAGGTAATTTAGCATCCTTTCTCTTTTGATTTGGAATTCCTATAAAGCAAATGTTTGTTTTTTAAACTGTGGAACCTGTATATTAAAAGATCCATCCTTCCTTGATCTACTTGGATTCATTTAAAATAACCTGTTCTCTGTCCAGAGGTGGTGGTACATGCCTTTAATCTCAGCACTTAGGAGGCTGGATCAGGTAGAGCTCTGTGAGTTCAATACTACCCTGGTCTACATAATGAGTTTCAAGCCAGCTGGGGCTACAGGAAGACCCTGTCTCAAAAATTCAAAAAATTAGCTGAGCATGGTGGCATACGCCTTTAATCCCAGCACTTGGGAGGCAGAGGCAGATGGATCTTTGTGAGTCCAAGGCCAGCCTGGCGCTACAGGGAGTCCTGTTTCAAAAAAAAAAACCCAAAAACAAAAACAAAATTCATTAAATAAATGAATTAAATTAAATAACCTGTGCTCAAAATGTTTTTGGTTTTTTTCCTCTTCTAACCTATGGATTGAGCCACCATGTGTCTTAATTCTATTTTTCCCCCTTTTCTTTGCCCTAATTGAGGTCTTCCACTGGAAAATTTTGTCTGTTTCTTTTATTTAAATCATCATTCACTCTCTCTTATTCAATTTGTTCTTAATAGCATGTATTTGTAATTTTATTTTTTTCATTTTAGATTTTCCTAAAATTCTTACTTTGGGTATGTGTCGTGCAGTTTATGCGACTTGAAGTTAGTGTTCTGGTGAGTGATGAATCTGAGTGTACGTCCTCTCCACAGAAAGTTCCTAATTCGGTGATCAAAGCGCGACTCCTGAATCGGGGCAGTTGTCTTTTACCAGTGGATGTGACTTTGGACTCCGGCTTAGTTTGTGTATTATTTCTCACTTACAGGGCACTGCATGACCAAACCTGAGTTGATCTTCAAGCTGGAGCATGGTTTTGGGCCATGGGGTGCGGCAGAAGCATCTGTCCAGAGCCTCCCAGGTCAGTGAATCCATCCTGAGTTAGGAAGGTCAGCAAGAATGCAGCTTAGCAGATATTGTACATGTTGAGCTCCTCCCCAGCCCAGTCCAGATGACAGCTGATGTGGTGGATCAGACACCTGATTTTTTTTAATTAAATTTTTTTTTTTATTGTATGTGTATGAGTGTATTGCCTGCATGTATGTGAGTGCACCTGTGTCGTGCAGTGCCATGGTCAGAAGAGGGCTTTGGATTCCCCTGGAACTGGAGTCAAGGATGGTTTGTAGCCATCATGTGGGTGCTGGGAATCGAACCCCGGTCCTCTGCAAGAGCAGTCGGTACTCTTAACCACTGAGCAATCTCTCCAACCCCCAGACACCTGATTTTTGCAGAGAGGTTTAGCCAGATCACTCATCTTGAGTTTTTGTGCTGAATTATATTTTTTTACTTTTCCTAAAACTTCAGTCTTTGTGCAACTGTTGTCTTTTCATTGTAATACTAACAATATTTACAGAAATACATGTTCCCTTAATGTGCTTCCATTCTGTGAAAGAAAAATAAGCAAAGATGTCACCATGGTGAGATAAGTGTCACATGAATGTTAACTAGTGGGGCTAGAGAGGTGGCTCAGCAGTAAGAGCACTGACTGCTTTTGTAGGAAACCCAGGTTTGGTTTCCAGCACCCACGTGGCAGCTAACAACTGTTGATAACTCCAATTCCACAGGATCCGGCACCCTTTTGTGGCCTCCATGGGCATTGCACAACATAGGTTCACGTACATACAAGCAGGCAAAACACTTGTACAAATATAAAAATGATTACTAGAAAGAAGAAAATATATGCAATTTTACTTTAGGAAAGACTTAAATCTAAGTCACTATTAGGGAAGCATTCATTTAGTTTAACTTTGAGATGACTTTTCCAAGTTTGGCATATAATACCTGGATAGATCTGATTCATGAATGATAGTGACTGTGGCTAGAATGTAGATACAGATTTGAAATCTGTTTCCTAGTCAGTGTTTAATACTGTTCTTGTTACATCCACCTGTGGAATTTGTTTTTTAAAAATGAGAAAAGAGCGTCATAATTTCCAGAGAAGAAGATTATAGATGAGAAGTGTTCTCTGTATTACTCCGGACTTCAAACCTCATGACCCAGGTGGGAGTAGAAGCCAAAGCCACTGTGTTGGTGGAAACACATAGAATCCCAATGGCTTGCTGCTGAGAACTGCCAACAAACTGCCATTTGTGGCCACAGGAAAAAAAAACGGTATCTTTTGAGGGTGGAAAGATATAGGGCCTCGTGTTGCTCAGGCTGGCCTCAGCTCCACTAAGTAGTCCAAGAAAACCTGTCCCCTCTCTCAAGTTGTTGAATTTCAGGCAGCACCACCATACCAGATTTTATATGATACCGAGGTTCAAACCCAGGTCTTTGTAAGTACCTAGCAGTCACTCTGTCAACAGAGCTACATCCTAAACCTAACCTCTGGTTCCTTCCAGTGTTTGGTCATGTAGAGTGAGTTTTGTCTGGTACACTAGCTTTGGAGAACAAACTGCATTTATCCACATATCATGCAATGCAGTTTCCACATATCCTCTACTCCCTGGACCTGAAAACAGGGAATAGTGAAAAACCCCAGAGGCTGTGGACACACTGATAGTGTTTCTATGTGGGAATGCCACTATGCAGCCATGGAAACTGACAGGGTCAGATGCAGAAACACCGAGAAAATTAAGAAGCAGGAAGCTTGAAATATGAAGGGTTTGGTTGTACTTTCTGTGAGGAGGAATGGGCCCTAGCACTTGTGGATCAGTGCAGAAGATGGGAAGATTGAGTACTGAGTGAGCAGATTGCTTGGCCTCCAGATCTTCGTTCCTTCTCCATGTGGTTAGTTACACAATGGACTGATAGCTCCCAGTTCCCATCCAACAGGTTTCTGGATTTTCACAGCCTGCTGGGACCTGACCTTGGGTCTTCTGCAAGAGCAGTCAGTGCTATTAGCCCTGAGCTATCTCTCCAGGCCCTCTTTCCTTTTGAAAGTGTAGTGCTAAGAATCAGATCCAGGCCCTTGCATGTTCTGTCCAAGCACATCCATGAGCTGTGTCTTCAATGCTGTGCTAGTTAGCTTTCTATTGCTGTGATAAAACATTCTGACCAAAGCAATGTGGGAAGGCAAGGTTTTATTTAGGTTTACAATATAGTCCTTCATTGAGGGAAGCCAGGGCACAAGCTCAAGAAGGAACTTGGATGCAGGAACTGACTGCAGAGGAATGCTGCTTACTGGCTTGCTTCCCTGGCCTGTGCTCAGCCTGCTTTTTTATACAGTCCAGGAGCCACTGCCCAATCATCTCCCACAGTGGGCTGGTCCCTCTCATATTGTTCAACAATCAAGAAAATGCTTTGCAGATGTGCCATTGGCCAGTCTGATAGAGGAAATTCCCCTGTTGAGTTTCCCTCTTCCCTGGTGTGTGAATTTGATAACTCAGGCTATCCAACACAAACAAATTCAGTAACTTCTTTTTTTTTTTTGAGAGAGAGGTATCATATAGCCTTGGATAGATTCAAACTCACTGTGTAGCTGACGATGATTTTGACTTTTTCATGTTGCTGGCTCCACTTCCCCAGTGCTGGGATGAGCAGCCTGTACCATTATCCCTGATTATATGCAGTGCCTCGGATTGAAATCAGGGATATCTGAGTGACAGGCAGGTATTTCACCAACTGAGCTTCATTCTCAGCCTCAAATATCTTCTCTGTGTATTAATAATAGACATTGTTAGAAGGAAATCAATGTCTTTTCCAATAGCTTTAAAAAGAAAGAAAAAACATAAAGTACACAGCAACATTCCTAATTAGGTGAAAGGACTCTCCAGTTAAAACTATATAACACTAATAAAATTGTGGAAGGCAGTAGACTAGTATATGACTGCTCGTGTTCATCATCAATGCAATTAATATAGGCATGCAATCCCCAGAAAATTCCAACAGACTATTGAGAAACAGGAAAACAAAATTATAAAGGTCATATAGAGAAGACGACACCAACCGCCTCAGGAATCCTGTGTAAAAGCTAATTCTAGAGATCTCTGCATACTGCTGCAGAATGTTATTAGCAAAAATATCAAGGCATTGGCAGAAAACTTCAATGGAGACCCATGGAATGTTCTTCTTTGCTTTCTGTTGCTGTGATAAAAGAGTGACCAAAACGAACTTGAAAAAGAAATTGTGTATTTCATCTTTTAACTCCCAGGTAAGAAATCATCAGTAAGGGAAGGAATGGAACTAAAGGCAAGAAGCTGGAAGTAAAGCTGACGTCACAAAGGAAAGCTGCTTACAGGCTTGCTTCCCTTGTCTTGCTCAGCTACATTTCTTAAACAGCCCAGACCCTCGTGCCTTGGATGGCAACATCCACCATCATTTGGGCTCTCCAGCATCAGTTAACGATCTAGAGAAAGCTTCACAGACATGGCTACCTGACAGTGTGATGCAGGAAATTCCTCAATTGAGGTTCCTTCTTCCCATGTGTCTCTAGTTTGTGTCAAGTTGACAAAAGTAACCAGCACAGAGTGGTATACACAATGACACAAAAGTACAGTCACACAACCACAGTGATCTCTTTCTCGAGTATTACCGAAGATCCATGTTTGAAAAAGGTATTTGAAAAGGCTAGTCCCATGAAAGTGCATCTCCACACGTAGAAGACTGAAACTGGACAATTATTTTTCACCCTGTGCAAAAACAAATGGAAGGGGGACCTTAATCTAAGGCTGAAATGTTGAAAGTGCTGGAGCAATACATGGGAAAACAAGTGAAGATCAATCCATCCGTGGGTGAACTCACAGAGCTCTGCCTGCCACCGCCTCCCAAGTGCTGGGACTAAAGGTGTGCAGCACCACTCCCGGCACTCTAAATAATTTTATGGACTGATAAACCTAGCAGGGTGTATTGGTGCATGCTTGTAATCTCAATTGTGAGAGGAGTTCAAGGTCTTCCTTTACTATATAAGTAGTTTAAGGTCCCAATAAGACCATGACTGAAATAAAAGTAACTATAAATATCTATTTCAAAATTGCATCTAAATGTGAAATTTTTATGTAGTGATGAAGCAATAATCAGTATGAAAAAGCATCTGATAGTCTGAAAAAGTCTTTGCCAACTTCTCCTTCAGTTTGAGACTAACATTCAGAAAATATGCATAAGGAAAGTTACACACTATTGGTGATAATGTGGAGCTGTCTAGCCACTATGGATTTTGTTTTTCAGAAATGGAAAAAATTCATGGATTGATAAGTGGCTCAGCAGTCAAGAGCAATGGCTGCTTTTTCAGAGTACCTGGGTTTGATTTCCAGCACCCACATGGTGGTTAACAACTTCCTGTCCAAGAGGATCCAATGCTCTCTTCTGACCTCTGCAGGCATTACATGACATGGGTGTACCTACCTACATGCAAGCAATACCCTCATATACATAAAATAAAAATGATAAATAAAATATTTAAAATGTATTTTTTAAAAAGAAAAATGGAAAAAAATGAACTGCATGATACAGTTATTGTGCTCCTGTCCATATCTGTGGTAGACTTCATGTAAGGATTCAATGCCTGCAGCACCAGGTTTGCTGAAGCATCACTCACAATAGTCAAGACACTGTATCATGCTTCACACCTGTCATTGGATTCATCAATAAAAATGCAAAGTTAGGGGGCTGGAGAGATAGCTCAGCGGTTAAGAGCACTGAATGCTCTTGCAGAGGACCCGGGTTCAATTCCCAGCACCCACATGATGGCTATGAACCGTCCTTAACTCCAGTTCCAGGGGAATCTGAAACCCTCTTCTGACCTCCACAGCACAGCATGTCATGGGTGCACTCACATACATGCCGGCAATATACTCTTACACATAAAATAATAAGTAAAATATTTTTTAAATGCAGTGTTATTTTAAAATAGTCTAGTATTCAGCCAGGTATGGTTGTACTCATTTTTAACTCCAGTACTTTGGAGATAGAGGTAATTGGATCTCTGAGAATTTGAGACCAGCCTGGACTAGCTAGTTCCAGGCCACCTGGAGGCTATATAGTGAGAACCTGTCTCAACCCCCGTCCCCCAAGGACCCCAATAATAATAATTTTAAAATATGTGTTATTCAGCCATAAAGAAGAATCAGATCATGGTGTTTACAGGATTATGAGTGTGACTGCACCTTATCATGGTTAGAGAAACATGTTGGAATTAAATGAAAACTAACACGTGTTGTCCTATATATTTATGAATATAGATTTAAAGTCTAAGTCATAAATGTAAAATTGGGAGAATTCGCTTAGAGTAGTGAATCATCTGGACAGGGAAGATGGAACAAATACATGTTGTTCAAATAAAATATAGTAAAATATCCTTTTGCATTTACGATTCTCAGCTCTGCAAAGGCAAATGCAATTGCATGTAGAATTTTTGGGGCCTAATTTTGATATAAATGTTTATTGCTATTTTAGAAAGCATATAGGTCCAAGAGGTGAATGGCATTTGGGGGAAACTCACCTGCTTTGGGAAGATGATTTTCTTTAGAAAAAGAACATGCAAGCTAGGTGTTATGGCACACACCTTTAATCCCAGCATTCTTGAGGCAGAGATAGGCAGATCTTTTTGAGATTGAGGCCAGCCAGGCCTGCATAGTGAGTTCTGGACCAGTTGGGGCTTCAGGGAGACCCTGTCTCAAAGCAAAACAACAACAAAATGAAAAAACTAAAACCATGTGTTATTTCATGGTGAAGTGAACAGTTTGAAACACAAATGTCTGGAAATTCTCCAGTGCTCCTGTTTACATGAAAGAGTACTGAGAATGCTGGCATGCTAAACGTGACTAATTGAAGAAAATCTGCCCATTTCACAGGCGAAAGTGGTGTGCTGTAGAGTTTTATTTTTTGTGTAGTTATTATAATAGAGAAATGGAATGGGGAGCAATATAATAAAAAATGCCTTGTGGAATACCACAGCTGAGATATAGGCCAATACTTCATCTTCACATCTTTGAACTAAAGCAAGGCAATGAGACATGTCTTAGCTCTGCAGTCTGTTAGAGGCACTTTCTACGTTTAGTCATGAAGGATTACAATGCACACACTTATCATGAATTCCGTAAGGATTAGTAGGCACACTTTTATGTTTGCATTGCATGAAAAAGATTTAATGATTCATGGATGACTCATAGAAAATGGTGTTTATGTCATTTTAGATGTTCTTGAAGTAACTGCCATGATGGAGGCCATCCAGGAAAATGACAAGGGACGTTTGTGGAGCATTGGAACCACCAATAGCAAGAAATCCAATGAGAAGATTGTTGAAGTAAGCGAAGCAGTTCATGTGAGCTCTTAACATATTTCAAATCTGGAAAACAGAGAGTGGAAACTTTGGAAATATTTCCTCAGCAACTTAACTGAGGAATAGGGAGATGGGTTAGTTGGCAAAGTTCTTTGCATGGAGGCATAGAGGTTTGAATTTGGGTTTTCAGCATGCCTGTATAACACTAGCTGTTTTAGCATGCTTCTATATCTAAGATTTGGAAGATGGAGCGATCAGGATCCTCAATGAGTTGTCTATTCAGATTGGTAAGTTTCAGGGGTTCAGTGAGATATGGAGAGTGATTTATGGAAGCATTCACAAACAATATTAGAAAGAACAATACTATGAAATGTTAGGAAGAGCTTCATAGCTGTAAGAAGTATAACCAATTATTCTATCTCCAGGCCGACCTAAAAATGCAACAGAAAGTCCAGCAGAAAAAATCCTATGAAGGTAAAGGATGTGTGAAGGTGTTTTACCAGAAGTTATATCACAGCAGGAATAACAAAGATTTCGATCATAAATCAGCTTTCAGTCAATGTCAAAGACTTCATAGAGTGGAGAGACCTTATGAGCATAAAGAATTCAAGAATACTTTGTCCTTCAAATCACAACTCACTGCACATCAGGCATCTCATACAGGTGAGAAGCCATATGAATGTACAGAATGTGAGAATGTTCTCTACTACAAGTCACAATTCACCCAACATCAGACTACTGATGCTCACCAGAAGCCCCATGAATGTATGGAATGTGGGAAATCTTTTTACAGTCAATCAGATCTTGGTGACCATCAGGGCACACAAACAGGAGAGAGGCCATATCAATGTCCAGAATGCAAAGAAGCTCTCTCATACAAGTCAAACCTCATTCAGCATCAGATAACTCATAAAGCTGAAACACCTCTTGAATATAAACAGTGCAACATAGTCTTTGATAAGTCTCAGTTCACTGTGAGTCAGAGAACTCATACAGCAGAGAAGCAGTATCAATGTATGGAATGTGGGAAAGCATTCAACCGCAAGTCAACCCTTACTGTGCATCAGAGAACTCACACAGGGGAGAAGCCCTATCAGTGTTCAGAATGTGGGAAAGCTTTCAACTGTAAGTCTAACCTTACTCTACATCAGAGAACTCATACAGGAGAGAAGCCCTATCAATGTACAGACTGTGGGAAAGCCTTCTGCAGGAATTCTGACCTTACTGTGCATCAAAGAACTCATACAGGTGAGAAGCCCTATGAATGTAAGCGGTGTGGAAAAGCTTTCTGTAAAATCTATTCTCTAATGGTACATCAAAGAACTCATACAGGGGAAAAGCCTTATGAATGTAAACAGTGTGGAAAAGCCTTCTTTCAAATGTCTTCCCTCAGGGTGCATGAAAGAACTCATACAGATGAGAAGCCTTACGAATGTAAACAGTGCGGGAAAGCCTTCTACTTCAAGTTTAAGCTCACTGTACATCAGCGAACTCATACATTGGAGAAGCCTTATCAATGTGTAGAATGTGGAAAAGCCTTCTGTCACAAGTCTGACCTCACTTTGCATCAAAGAACTCATACAGGTGAGAAAATCTATGATTGTAAACAGTGTGGAAGAGCCTTCTGCTATAAATCTGCTCTCAGGGTACATCACAGAACTCATACAGGAGAGAAGCCCTATGAATGTAAACAGTGTGGAAAAGCCTTCAGACAAATGTCTGCTCTCAGGGTCCATGAGAGAGCTCATACAGGGGAAAATCCCTTTAGATGTCCTATATGTGGGAATGGTTTTAACTTTGAGTCAGTCCTTACTCTGCATCAGAGAACTCATACAGGGGAGAAGCCCTATCAATGTTCAGAATGTGGGAAAGCTTTCAACTGCAAGTCAAGCCTTACTCTGCATCAGAGAACTCATACAGGGGAGAAACCCTTTCAATGTTCAGAATGTGGGAAAGCTTTCAACTGCAAGTCAAGCCTTACTCTGCATCAAAGAACTCATACAGGTGAGAAGCCCTATGAATGTAAACATTGTGACAAAGCCTTCTCCAGGAAGTCTCAGCTCACTGTGCATCAAAGAACTCATACAGGTGAGAAGCCCTATGAATGTAAACAGTGTGGAAAAGCCTTCTCCAGTAAGTTTCTATTAACTTTGCATCAAAGAACCCATACAGGGGAGAAGCCTTATCAATGTACCGAATGTGGGAAAGTCTTCTGCAGTAAGTGTGAACTCACTATGCATGAAAGAATTCATACAGGTGAGAAACCTTATGAATGTCAGCAGTGTGGAAAGTCCTTCCGCCAAAGATCTGCTCTCAAGGGGCATCAAAGAACGCATACAGGGGAGAAGCCCTATGAATGTAAACAATGTGGAAAAGCCTTCTACCAAATGTCTGCTCTCAGGGTACATCACAGAACTCATACAGGGGAGAAGCCCTATGAATGTAAACAATGTGGAAAAGCCTTCTGCCAAGTATCTACACTCAAGGTACATGAAAGAACTCATACAGGTGAGAAGCCCTACGAATGTAAACAGTGTGGAAAAGCCTACTATAGCAAGTCACAACTCACCCAACATGAGCGAAATCATATAAGTGAGAAACTCTATGAATGTACAGAATGTAAGAAAGCTTTCCACTTCAAGTCACATCTCTCTGCACATCAGAGAACACATACAGGAGAGAAGCCCTATAAGTGTTCAGAGTGTAATAAATTTTTCTCCTGCAAATCAAACCTTGTTCAACATCAGAAAACTCATTTGAGTTAGAAACACTATGAATGTACAGAATGTAGGAAAACTTTCCACTTCATTTCATATATATATATTTATTTATTTGAGACAGGGTCTCTCTGTAGCCCCAGCTGGCCTCGAACTCACTTTGTAGACCAGACTGGCCTTGAACTCACAAAGATCCGTCTGCCTCTGCCTCCCAAGTGCTGGGATTAAAGGCGTGCGCCACCATACCCGGCTTCATTTCCTATCTAATTCTTCAGAAAACTCACAGTTGAGGAGCTTTATCAATGTATACAATGAAAGCTTTTTCTCTATGAAAACTAATAAAAGTGAAAATGCCTATAAATGTGTATAATATAAGAAAGTTTTCTTGTCTAAGACATATCAACATTATAGAACTCAAAGAGGTGAGAAGCACTTTGAACAATTCACAAAAGGCTACAACTTCAAGTCACACCTCATGCAACATTTGAAATTTCATATAGATGAGAATCCATTGAATATACTGAATTCAAGAATGGTTTCTTCCTTGAGTCACATCACATTGAACATCAGATAACACAAATGAGGAGCTCTGTATAGGAGTACAGAATGCAGGAAAGTTTTCTCCTGCAAGCCACATTTTCCTGGACTCAGATACTTAGAAGGGTGAGATTGCCTATAAATTTACCTATTGCAGAAAACCTTTCTATTGCAAGGTGTACCCAATCCAACATCATGGTTCTCATAGGTGAAAAAGTATGTAAGAATGCCTGAAAACTGGCTACAACTAGTCATTTCAAAAATGTGACCAGACAGTGCATACCGGTGAAAAGACTGATGGATGGAAAGAATGTAGGAAAACTTTTGTACCTGAACCACTGGTAAACACCTAGAGGTATGAAATACCAGTGTTTAAGATTGTTGGACAAGTTTATCATGCAGTGCTTTCTCTGCCTAGAGAATTCACACATGTGAAAAGATGTGAAATTAAGGGACGTAGGAAAGCTTTCTCATACTGTCAGTTGACATAAGTATACATGTAGTTGAGTAACACTAAATGTAAAGATGCAGTAATGTTTTCTAATATAATCTGCCATCAATACCCTTTTGAAAAGTCATTCGGGTAAAGGAGGCTTTGAAGTTCATGAAAAATGGAACAGTTGAAATAGGCATTAGGCCTCTGTGTTATAAACCTCACATTTGTGAGTTACCATGTATAAGAAATCATTTAGTGAGATATGTTAATGTATGTTTTCAGTCACTGATCAATTGTATCCTAATACTAGAAGTTGACTGAGACTCAGGGGTTGAGAGATGGTCTGAACATCACAGCAAAATGTCATATCTCAATAAAGAAACAAAACATTCTAGTAGTATACCAGGCATCTTAACCTTCTCTTTGTGAAGTTACAAGAATGTAGAGTGTCAAAGCCTTTTACTTGAAACTTAACTGACACCAGACACCCAACAAAAGTGACTAACCGGAGGAGTACAACTTGCATTTCACCTGAGTTTATTAAAATGCTTTATCAACAGATATCATCGATGTTAAGCTTATAGAAAAGTAATTCACTCCACTTCTGTGTTATCAGTTATCAAATAACAGAGAACCTTTCAAAAGAATGTTTAATTACAATTCCTTTACTTTGTGGTTGTGGTTTGAGCACATATGTGAAGATCACAGGATAACTTGGTGGAATTGGTTTTCTTCTTCCACCATCAGGATCAAATTCAGATCATTAGGCTTGGTGGCAGGCACCTTTCCCGTCTGATTTAGCTCATAAGCAAAGAATCCTTTTGAATTTAACTAATCAGGTGGTGGTGTGGTGTGATTCAGTAGCACACTGTCTGTAAATAAAATCAGTCATGGAGCAATTGCAGCAAATTTAGAATGTCAGTGATATGTGTTTGAATTTCTTCAGTGAAAGGGATTTTCATGATTGGCTATATTTCTTAAAAGATCTCAGTCTGTAGCCTATACAGACTTTAAACTCGTATCATATTCCAGGCTGTTCTCATAGTCCTCATTCTCCTACTTCATCCTTCTCATTGCTTAGATTAGAGGCCATGTGTCAATATACCCGTGCTTAAAAATTTCATTAATGTGTGGACATTGGTAGCAAAACATCAGAATATGTGGACTGAAGAGATAGTTCACTGGGAAAGAATATTTGCAGAATAAGTACAAGGGCTTGTGTTCAGATCTTGAGCATCCACATAGAAAGGATAGCTGTATATCTTTAGCTCCAGTGCTTAGGGGAGCCAGAGAAAGGAGGATCAATGGGGCTTACCAGCCAGCCAACCTACATGAAATATGGTGAGGTTCAGGTTCAGCAGAGTCCCTACCTCAAGAAAATAAGGTGGAAAGTAATAGAATAGGACACCTGCCACTGACCCATGTATATGCATTCATAGACACGTATGCACATACTTGTACACATGTAGACAGATACACAAAATAAAAATTTATATCATGAAATTATTGAACCAAATGTCAAGGTATTTAAGTTGAATTACATTTTAATATATTTGTTAAGTGTACCATTCAAAATGAAAGCATTCAAATACAAACCAATAAAGATGTGCTTTTTTTCCAGGCCAAAATCTATTCTCTTGATGAATTTGTTGTCATAGCTAGAGCTTTAGAATTGAGACTCAGTCTACTAGAAAGAGGGCAGTCATACATTAAACATTTTAGAATGCTTGTTACATCCCCAAAGATATTTTTATGGGTAGTTGAAGCTTGTGTTACATTGAGAGGCTGCAGCATAATCACATGGAGCATGTACATTCATTTATTGACAAACATAGGGACTGATTTGGGGAATTTACCTCAGTGATATCACATATACCTGTGCATATATGTGTTATGATTAAGGTCCCCTGCATAATTTACTGTGATAGATAACTTTTTATTTTGTCTTTTTGAGACAGGGTCTTCCTGTAGCCCCAGCTGTCCTGGAACTCACTATATAGACCAGGCTGACCTTGAACTCACAGAGATCTCCTGCCTCTGCCTCCTGAGGGCTGGGACTACAGGCGTGCGCCACCATACCTGGCTTAGATAACTTTTTCTTAAAATTATATTTATTTTGTGTTTATGAGTGTACTGCCTGCATGTATGTGAGTACACCTGTGTTGTGCAGTTCCGCGGAGGTCAGAAGAGGGCTTCAGATTCCCCTGGAAGTGGAGTTAAGGGTAGTTCATAGCCACCATGTGGGTGCTAGGAATTGAACCTGGGTCCTATGTAAGAGCAGTCAGTGCTCTTAACTGCTCAGCTATCTCTCCAGCCCCGATAGGTAACCTTTTTCACCTAACAGATAATTTACATGTATTCAGTATTAGTTACGTTTCTATGGCTAATGATAAAATACCATGACAAAGGCAATTTAAGGAAGAGTTTATTTTAATTTGCAGTTCCATTGGGATAAGAGGCCATCATTGAGAGAGGGCACATTAGCAAACAGCAGGCACGTAGCAGGAACAAGAAGCTGAGTGTTCACATTTTGAAGATCAAATGCCAAGCGAGTGAGTGAACTGGAATCGGGGCAGGGCTATGAACTGCAAAACCTGGCCCCAGTGACATACTTCTGCCAGTACGGCTATACCTCGGAAAGATTTCATGACATTCCCAAAGAACATCACCAGGTGGAGATCACGTTTTGAAGTATGTGAGCCTATGGGGGCATTTCTCATTCAATCACTCTATTTCACTCCCTGGTCCCCATAGACTCACGGCCATTTATAATGCAAAGTGCATTTCGTTCAACTTTAAAAAACCCATAAGCCAAATGTGATAACACACCTTTAATCCCAGCACTCAGGAAGCAGAGGCAGGAGGATCTCTGTGAGATCAAGACCAGCCTGTCTATATAGCATGTTTCTGGCTAGCTGGGGCTACAGGGAGACCTGTCTTTAAAAAAAAAAAATCCCCTTAATATTTTACAGTTTCATTACTGTTCCAAAGTCTCCTGAGACCGAAGGCAATCTCTTAACTGTAATTCCCTGTAAAATAAAAAACCAATTATGTATTTCCTGCATACAATGTCAAACAAAATATATTCCTATTCTGAAATGGAGGAATGCAGGCATAGGGAGGACATATGGGACCCAAGCAAGACTGAAAACTAGCAGGGCAAATGCCAACTTTTGTAGCTCCATGTCTAGCGTCAGGGAACTTATTTCCAAGGGCTTAGATGCCTCTCTCCTTCCAGCTTTGCTGTCTGCCACAGATCTCTCTCTTGGGTTGATTCCACTGCCTGTATACAGCGCTCCTTGGCAGATGTCTCAGGGCTCTGGCATCTCCAACATCTTGGGGTTTCCATTGCAACCAAGGCTTCACGTTCATAGCTTCTGCCGATAGCATCTCCGGGTATTTTTCTCTCGGCGATCCCCCTTCCACACATTGCCTGACCCCAGCAGCTCTCTGAAACCACGGAGGATGAATCCAGGAGCCTCTCACTCTTGTATCTATCATGTCTCCAAACCAGTATCACGTGGACAACACTGCCTAGTTCTACTACCAGCTTGGGGTGAACATTTGCCCCCTTGAATCAGATTCCAAGCAACTTTCAATGGATAAAATAAACCAGAATCTTCATCTGGGATCCTGAAGTAGACATTGTGTAAAGTTCTCCAGGTGAATTCATTGTGGCTTTTCAGTCTTTTGTGTGTTACCCAATTATTATAATTTCCTCAGCTCAGTTTTGATTACTCTCTTTGGTCATGATTGAAATCTCAAGGTATCTGTGATGCACAGGAAGCTGTAAGTGTCCTAGCCTTGGTGAGCACTCGTACTATGCGCATGTTGGGAAAAATGGAGGGAGTGAGAGAGGAAGGAAAGTTGTGGAGACAGGGAAGGGAAAGGTTCTAGAGAGGAAAAAAAAGAAAATAGGAAATTGTGTCCAAAAAGTTAAAAACATGCCATGTATCAAATTCAGTCAAAATTTGGCAGATCTAAGGGTCACTTCTTATTGGTTAGAACATTGTTATCTCAAAGTATTAAAATATACCCATGAGGATATGAGTTAAGGTATCTTTATTATTTCGTCACTCTTTCTGTTACAGAGTCTCACTATGTAGCCCAGGCTGTCCTCTTATTTGCAGTG